GGAGCTGTCTGGTCGCCGGCGTGTGTGGTTGACTATTTGGTATCGACCAGCGGAGGCCTCGTCACTTGTTTGCGGTGAGAGCACATCGGTGGTCGTCGATGATGAAGTTGCAGTCACCCTTGTGGAGGTGTGATGACGATGGCACCGGGTTGAAACCTCAACAATGTGTGCGCGTTTTTGTGTGGGTTACAAGGCCGCCCTGCGTGCCTTTTTTTGCGGGCGTTTCACTCGTGTTGCCGATGCGTTTGGTCTCTACCGTGATGCCACTTTCTCTCTACCCTGAAAAATCAAGGAGGGCAGTTTGGTTAGCGGGAAGTGGATTTACGTAAGGTTTCGTAAACTCATATGTAGGTGTGTCTTTTTTTTAGCATCAGTACAGACACAAGCGCTCATATGCATGCGCATACATTCACCCCTATGAACGCACACACGCACACCCTACCCCTATAAGCACCTCCGAGAAACTGGGCTGGCGTATCATCTTGAGATTGACGAAGCCACCGTAGGCGCCTCGTCGTCGACGAGAACGTCTCCTCTCACTAAAAGCGCATCGCGCGAAAATTCTGAAATAAATCCAAGAGTAATGCAAGCACCAGGGTTTGAACTCTGGTGAGTTGGGGATACCACTGTCCATCTAACCCTCTCAACCATGGGTTGGTTCACATAGGTAGGTGTGGCTGCATTATTGCCTTTATGGTACTTGTGCGTACTGGCCCACGATCGTTCTGTTGTTGGTTCCGTCGTCGCTGATATCAACCAAGCTGGCTGCTCCGGGATTCTCATTTTCGTGGTTGTATGACTTTGTTGTTTAGTCAAATAAAACTTTGTTCTTTAGTCGATAAAGTGCCAACGTCACGCGTTATTTGTAGACCAAAAAGCCACCGGCGCAAAACCGTGTCCGCCGGGTGAAGGGTAAGGTGTAGATCGACCCTTCCACCACGAGGTCCTCAAAATCTGAAGGGTAGTTTTGGAGGGTGGTGTTCTTTTCATTTTCGCTGGGCTGGTTCACACAAGAAAAGCCTCGAATTCCTCCGGGAGTCATGGCGGCGTCCCGACGGCGCACGTCGGCGGAGTTCCAAGGGAATGGCAGCCTAATGCCGCCGTCGGCGAACGCGATCGCTTCTCCCCGCGGCGGTGGCGCGCCCAGCCGGGAGGAGCACGCGAACGGCGGCGGCCCGGCGCTCAGCAGCGTACTCTCAGCCACCGAGGTCACCGGCAGGAGGCGGCCGGCGGGGCGCATGCCACTATGGCGACTCGGCATGTTCGCCTCCCTCGCACTGAATGCCGCCGCACTCGCGCTCCTACTCCCCCGGTACATCGTTAGCCACCCGCACCATCCCGGTGTCGTCTCTCTTGATCAGCAACACCACGCCTGCGCCCCGCAGCCGGGCACCAGCGGCGCGGCGGCGAGTGCGCCATCGACCGGGAAGCCGGCAGTGACTTCCAATTCTGTTATTCATCTGGACCAGTAAGCCCCTGTTCCTTCAATTTTTCTCCGTAGTAAATTCTTGCATTAAAATATCTGTAATCTGAAAAGCCGGCGAGGGGTGTTCTTCCCGCCGGAGCGTGTCCTTGTTCAGTGTCAGACAATGTCATGGAGGGAGGCCATCCCATTTTACAAGCGCGTTTGACTGACATTCGTTCTGTCGGCTGCAGCGGGGACCCGACCATGTTTGAGGCCTTCTGGAGGGAGACCGGCGACGCGGCGGAGCTCGTCGTTCCGGGGTGGCAAACGATGTCCTACTTCTCGGACGTCAGTAACGTGTGCTGGTTCATGGAGCCTGATTTCGACCAGCAGGTGCGCCGCCTCCACCGCACGGTCGGCAACGCCGCCGTGGACGGCTACCACGTCCTCGTCGGCACCGGCTCCACGCAGCTCCTCATGGCGGCGCTCTACGCCCTGTCGCCAGCGGATGCCGTCCAGCCCACCAGCGTCGTCTCCACGGCGCCCTACTACTCGGTAAGTGCGATATTACAAAAAAAAAAAATCCTCTCAGGTTCAGACCGTTAGTTGCTCCCTAAGTTTACATAAAAAGTCAATCTTGATCTGATCATGGATCATGGATGCAGTGGTATCCTGCCGTGACGGACTTCCTCCGGTCCGGGCTGTTCCGCTGGGCCGGCGACGCAAGCTCGTTCATCGGCGACGCCTACATCGAGCTGGTGTGCTCCCCGAACAACCCCGATGGCGCCATCCGCGATGCCGTGCTGGGCTCCGGTGGCTCCGGGAAGGCGGTCCATGACCTTGCCTACTACTGGCCGCAGTACACCCCGATCACTCGCCGGGCCGACCATGACATCATGCTCTTCACCATGTCCAAGAGCACCGGGCACGCCGGCACGAGGATCGGGTAAGTGTCCGTCGCTCGCTGCAACTTCATCTCAGACAAGAAGAAGTCTGAACTGCCGAACCTGAAACGAAAAGCGATGCTTCTGCAGGTGGGCATTGGTGAAGGACCGGGAGGTGGCGCGGAGGATGACCAAGTTCGTGGAGCTCAACACCGTCAGCGTGTCCAAGGACTCGCAGCTGCGCGCCGCCAAGGTGCTCAGGGCGGTCTCCGACGGGTACGACGGCGGCGCCTCGGCCTCGCGTCACCGGCTGTTCGACTTCGGGCGGCGCAAGATGGCGGAGCGCTGGAGGATGCTGCGCGAGGCCGCCGCCGCGTCCGGCATCTTCAGCCTGCCCGAGGAGACCTCCGGCCGCTGCAACTTCGCCAACGAGACGGCCGCCAATAACCCTGGTACGTAGCACGGTCACACCATGGCATAGCGTCTCGCGTGCTCTCAGCTCTCGGTCGCTCACCTCGCGCCATTGTTTGATGATCTCTTTCTGCAGCGTTCGCGTGGCTGCGGTGCGACAGGGAGGACGTGGAGGATTGCGCGGGGTTCCTCCGCGGCCACAAGATCGTGACGAGGAGCGGGAACCAGTTCGGCGCGGGCCCGAGGTACGTCCGGGTCAGCATGCTCGACAGGGACGACGCCTACGACATCTTCATCAGGCGCCTCGCCTCACTCAAATGACAAATCGAGACCGACGGCGGCGCGTGGAGGCTTCGCTCGTCGGGCTCCCTCGTTCGTCATGCGTGCCGGTGATGAGGCTGAGCATCGGGCGAAATGAAAAAGTAGCAGTACCGGTTTCTGCCGGGTAGGTGGATGCCGTTGGATGTTTCCGAGATTTGCACAACTCTGTGCCGTAGTCAACTTAGATTCTACGCTCCGTTATGTATCAGTACATCTTCCATACCGTATGAGCACGATTGTGTACACGCACGTACACAATGCGCGTCTGGCCCACAAATTCAATTCGCCAGCAGACATTAATGTACTCCCACTACATCCCTAAACAATCTTCTCCGGCTAGTCCTCTCTTGTGCGAGTCCGCTGCTGCCAGAGTTCTTCAAGATCGTGGATCCTGTTCGGAGAAAATGAGCTAGAATCCTCCAAATCTTTGAATCGGCCAACGAGTGTTACTGTTCTACAGAGAAAACTCCTTCGTTTGTGAGTTCTATCCTCGTCTATTTTCAGGCTTGCACTAGATTCAGTTTTCTATATCCGCCTTGATTTACGAATGCATCTTAAATGGATTTGAGTTGGTACCTCCGCATCTTAGTATCAGCCTTGGAGAGTATGTTAAAACCGAACTAACGGGAATCCTAGTTAAGCGTATGTAGTCGATGAAGTAAATCCGAGATGGTTTCATTTGCATGTTCCATTGGGATACCATTATTGTTTTAATACTGAATCAGTTCTGTTTTTTCTGTTATAGCCTTTGACGCGAATCTGACGATTCAGAAATGGCCAAGTTTACAATGCATTACATAGTGGCATTTTATTGATAACTGGAATGGAGAAAATGCCTTTAGCCAATGAGCTAATTATATAGACATCTCCTTGTTTTCATAAGGTGTGCACTGTGCTTAGACAACCCATTGTTGTTGAAGACTCATGTAGGACAACAAGCTCGCAATATAAATATTATGGGTAACCTATATTTGGGTAAGCTTGGAGATGAATTTATAAAGAAACAAAGTAAAATTCATCGTCCAATGTCTAGCCTAAGGACATCGGAAGTGTCCCACGGACATGAATATTTAAAGAAATATATGATGCCAAAAAAGAGTAGGCATCGTGCAATGTCTGAGTCTGATGAATCGAAAATGGCCAGAAAGTGGTATCAAAGTATTGATTTTGCCAGCTCAAAGAGTGGTCAGTCAAAGAATAGGCATAATACATTCATGCCTAAGTACAATAGTAGACATGGTCAAGCATATGCCAGGGCAGAGCTTAGGGAGAGGGAAAGCTATGATGATAGTAGTTTTACATCTGATAGTGACATCCTTGACAAGAGAAACCTAAAAAGATTAAAAAATATGAAGAGGGTGCATCATGTTGAAGACAACAATTTCCACATGAATTGACATTGACAAGTCAATCCATGTGTAAATTCGCATAATCCGGTGAGTAGGTCGTTCCGAATCTATGTTATGATTCATCGTTCCCCATTAATTAAATGGACTGCGTCCTCACCACGTTGACAAGTACTCTCATTGTATACAATGCATGTTATTAGGTACAAGTGTAACCTGATATGGTCACCTATTACAGATAGGGTCAAGGACCCATCATTTGGGACCCACATAGGGCCCATCACCATCATAGGTAGGTCCCTGGACCATGCCAACATTTGGATGCATACATCAGGGAGTTCACTCGGACGACTCCACGGCACTCGGACGGTCATACGTCACTCGGCCGATGGACCACCACACAGACGTAGAAGACAGAAGGACGACGTGAGAGCTGCAACGGGCAAGGAATCCTAAGTCATCCACTAAATAGAGTTATAGCTACCGTTACCTGTAACTGTTGTAGTAGAGGCTCATTACACTAGTAACTGACTCATTCAATGACAGTTAATGCCTCGGCGGCGTGGGAGACATGGGGCTGCAGCGCACTCTATATAAGCCGCACCCCTCTCCACAGCCAGGCACATTCCATCTCTGTAATCATACCCTCAAATCAAAGCAAGCCTTAAGGCACGAGACATAGGGTTGTTACCTCCACCGAGAGGGGCCTGAACTCGTTAAATACCGAGTGTTACACCTGCGCCGTAGGTAGTCTCTACCCCTTATTCGTACCCCTAGTACTCATTGTCAGGATCGTAACCCCGACAATTGGCGCCCACCTTGGGGCTAGGCGTCTAGCAAAGTTTCACGACGTAGGTGGTTTTCTTCATCATCATGCTAGTCAGCGACGAAATCCATTTTGGGGCCCTCTCCTTCATCGCCGACAACTCAGCGTGGCTCCGCGAAGCCCCGCTGGACGTGGAGGCGTTGCCCGTCCGCGGCGCGACGCACTTCCACGCTTTGACCTATGGAGTCCTTCTCCGACAACCCTCGGCTCCGTACCAAATGGTCACTCGCCCCACCATCGCATGTCGCCGCAAGCGTTCCGGACACTCACGACTGCAGCGCTGGATCAAGCATGCTGTAGCCACCCAGGCAGCGACTGAACATTGTGGCGACACTCGAGTTTGACGAACCCGCCCTCGACCTCTCCAGTGGATCATTCGGCGATTCATCCAAGGAATCCAAGTGCGAAAGCATCGAGTCCACTGCCGAAATTCTCATGGCGGACAACTTGAGCATCATATGCCCCCTGGGTTCACGACACTCAGGCTGATCGCGTAGGAGCGTCACATGGCAACACCGGTGGCGGGGCTCCGGGCCATGAGCCCTATGTCCCCAAGCTCTCACCCGGGAGCAGCGGGACGAGCTCTGTTGCAGGAATGACCAACTCCTCAACAACCCCATCACAGGGATGACATCGGAGGCATTAGCCATTGAGTCGACTCGCCTGGCCACTCTGGCCAAACGTGATCACCTCGAACGCCTTTAGAGGGAGCTAGACGAACGCGAGCGCTGTCAGCCCAGTTCTAGTCAGCACAAATGCCGACTCTACTCGAGTGACCAACCTCGTAAGTATCAACTCCTCGGTACTCCACTTCAAAATCTAGCAGTCGCCACTCGTCTCGCGGATTCCATCCGGCCCTCTGGCTCTTCGCTGGGAGAAAGGATTCGTCATATCCAGGCGCTCCTCAAGACATCGTTGTCATAGAATGCGGCGGTGTCCCAGTCCAGAGACCGGATCCATAGCGCATCCGTGCATGCGGAGACCGTCCAGTCGGCTCATATCCCACTCATCTCGGGCAAGCGCCGAGCCGTTTCTTCCTCCAAAGATCGTCACGAAGATTGGAGGCGCGATCGAGTTGCGTCGCCCCGGCGTAATGACGACTACGATCATGCCCTGATGCCTCCACCATGGGATGTCGCGTACGGGCGCCAGCCCTATGACGACAGACGAACACACGACGGCGACTGCAGGCCGAGTCCTTCTCGTCCATCGAGAGACATTCGAGACCCGCTGTTCAACGCGAGATCTGTTCTCTCTCAAAACCTGGTCGACAAAGGCTGGGCCCTGCGAGAAGGCCAAGATCACGACGTACGAGTGGTTCCGTACCATCAGGTCTCGAGTGCTTCAGTCATTACATACGAGCGGCTGAGATTCCCAACAACTTCAGGTTGCTGATACGTCCATTTTGCATCATGCTTTTATATCGATATTTATTGCATTATGGGCTGTTATTACACATTATGTCACAATACTTATGCCTATTCTCTCTTATTTTACAAGGTTTACATGAAGAGGGGAAATGCCGGCAGCTGGAATTCTGGGCTAGAAAAGGAGCAAATATTAGAGACCTATTCTGCACATCTCCAAAAGTCCTGAAACTCCACGGGAGCACTTTTCAGAATATATAAAAAATATTGGGTGCAAGAAGTACCAGAGGGGGCCACACCCTGGCCACGAGGATGGGGGACACGCCCTACCCCCCTGGGCGCACCCCCTGCCTCGTGGGCTCCCTGGTGGTCCTCCGATGCCTATCTTCTGCTATAGGAGGTCTTTCGTCCGACGAAAAATTATAAGCAAGCTTCCGGGATGAGACTCCGCCGCCACGAGGCGGAACCTTGGCGGAACCAATCTAGGGCTCCGGCGGAGCTGTTTTGCCGGGGAAACTTCCCTCTGGGAGGGGGAAATCATCACCATCGTCATCACCAACGATCCTCTCATCGAGAGGGGGTCAATCTCCATCAACATCTTCACCAGCACCATCTCATCTCAAACCCTAGTTCATCTCTTGTATCCAATCTTTGTATCCAAACCTCAGATTGGTACCTGTGGGTTGCTAGTAGTGTTGATTACTCCTTGTAGTTGATGCTAGTTGGTTTACTTGATGGAAGATCATATGTTCAGATCCATTATGCATATTAATACCCCTCTGATTATGAACATGAATATGCTTTGTGAGTAGTTACATTTGTTCCTGAGGACATGGGAGAAGTCTTGCTATTAGTAGTCATGTGAATTTGGTATTCGTTCGATATTTGATGAGATGTATGTTGTCATGCCTCTAGTGGTGTCATGTGAACGTCGACTACATGACACTTCACCATTGTTTGGGCCTAGAGGGAGGCATTGGGAAATAATAAGTAGATGATGGGTTGCTAGAGTGACAGAAGCTTAAACCCTAGTTTATGCATTGCTTCGTAAGGGGCTGATTTGGATCCATATGTTTCATGCTATGGTTAGGTTTACCTTAATACTTGTGTCGTAGTTGCGGATGCTTGCAATGGGGGTTAATCATAAGTGGGATGCTTGTCCAAGTAAGGACAGTACCCAAGCACCGGTCCACCCACATATCAAATTATCAAAGTACCGAACGCGAATCATATGAATGTGATGAAAACTAGCTTGACGATAATTCCCATGTGTCCTCAGGAGCGCTTTACTTCATATAAGAGTTTGTCCAGGATTGTCCTATGCTACAAAAAGGATTGGGCCATCTTGCTGCACCTTATTTACTTCTATTACTTGCTACTCGTTACAAATTACCTTATCACAAAACTATTTGTTACCGATAATTTCAGTGCTTGCAGAGAATACCTTAGTGAAAACTGCTT